GTCTTTTCTAGTTTAACGGAATGTCAGAAAGAAAATCTCAGCTACAGTGTCTCCCTTAGAACAAAGCCTCTTCTGTTCCTTTCTGCAGATTGTGCCCCTCCAGGCATTGTTTTTATTGTTTATTCCTCCTTCCTAGATTTCTGCCCCAGAATCTGTTCTTGTATGTCAGGACACATAGTGACTTCTGGGGATGGCAGATTGTCAGCTAAGCTGTACTTGTTACTAGAGAGATTTTTGGGACTGTGTTGTGCCATTAGCATGTAAGATATCTCGGGGACCTTTAAAGCATCTAAAGCATCACAGCGGGGGCGGGGGTCTGGAGTATGAGAGTATACAGAGAATTATAGGAGCTACCTTGTGCTGGCAGGTAACTCACCTATAGATCTCAAAGCTAATAGCACTGAAGCGCTGACTGCGCCTGCAAATGAAAGGAGCAGATGGCTCTGTCATCCAGCAACAGGAAGGTTTTGGCTAACATCTGAAAAACCACAGTTTGCCTTTTGTATCTGTCTGCAGCAATTTCTGGTCTTTTCTTGAACAGCTGTATTAGTGGAGAAACCAGAAGCATGAGTGAGGGGTGCATGTGTTTGTGAGATAAATTACTGTGGGAATCATTCCCAACCTGAATTGGAAAAGCCTGGTCAAAAAGTATGTGTGACAGTCAAGACTGTAACCATTGAAGAAAGGTGGGGAAGTATGGGCATATCTGCTGGTTGCAATGTGGAGAAAACGTGGGGAGGGGAGATTAACTGAGTCTTCTGGCTTTCTCAGTGATTGCTTCATTAACTTGGTATGGAAGTGTTGCTCTTCACTGTGCTTTAGGTTGTGCACAGTGCATCAGAATGATCAGTAAACGTAGTATTACTTTCCAGATGTGAGCTGATGCTGGGATGCCTAGCTCAGGAGAACAGTCATTTCAAACTTTGTATGTCTACTGAGAGACTTTTTATTAGATTCTTTTCTTTGGTTGTTTGGAGATATAATCAAAATACTTCCCTTCCTGCTGTCCACAGTATATTTTCCTATCCCTGCAGAAAGAGAGGTGGAAGACTAAGGTGGTGAAATGCCTTGCTCTGGTTTCAGAAAATAACTGTTAACAGAGCTGTTGGTTGAATCAAAATCACCCAGTCTTTGTGCTTTGGTCACAAAAACCTTTCCTGTCCCAGGTAGACTGGAGTTCCCATGTTTTTTCTTGGTGTGAGCCACGCCCATCCTGTTCAACCACCCTGTCACAGCCCATGAAACACTCTCTCTGTGATGTCTCTGGCACCTCTAAAAACAGTGAGACCTGCATGGGGATGGCTAGTATGTTGTATCAGGTGCAAGTGGGGAGAAAAGCCTCAGTTACTGACTAGACAGATTTTGGTAAACTGGCAGCTGGCTGTCTATGCCTGTGATTCCAGCCAAGGTTTTTTTCCATGATGTTGTGTGATACATTAGTAAGGAGGAGACATCCAGCTACGGATGAAACACCATTGCAATTAGTGTCTCTTCTTTTTCAAGAGAAAGAGCAGTAAAGCCATACACTTGCTACCATGCTACCCTAATTATGCCCTTGGGCTTTGTAAACAAGGTGAGCACTATTCTTGGCTGGATTCAGCAGCCTTCTGGAAGCTGCTGCCTCCCTTTCCTTCTGCAGTATCTCACTGAGAAATGTTAAGAGACGCCCTGATATTTTGGGATCTCAGATGACTGGATGATGCTTAAGAGCATCAGGAGCAGAGTGTGGGCATGAGAGAATGGGTGATGGTTTTGAAAGCTTGATCCCAAATGCCAACAGGTAGAGAGACAGGGAGTGTTCAGCAAAAAGGCTTCTTAGCAGAGCAGGGGTGTTGGGGGCTGGTGATCCCACCAGGTTTTGGCAGAGCTGTGCTGGAAGGGTGCTTCCAGGCCTGGCCTTGTGGGGCAGCACCTGTGCTTACAGAAATGGATGCTCACAAAAGGTACCGCACCGGTGACAAATAGACTGTCACTGGCTGCGTGGAGACTTGTTGAGACACAGTCAGCGGTGGAGATGAGGCCGGCAAGCCCAACAGGTCTGTGCCAGTGGTCAAGTAGAGCTGCATGCAGCCACGGTCTGCATGGCATCTTTCACTCACGCTGCGGCTTCAGCGTGCTGGGCCCTTCGCGTGGAGGCTGGCCTCTGCTTGCCATGCCCAGCCAGGGGCTGAGCTAGGCAGCAGCGGCGGCTGGGGTTCGGGCGCTGGGCACGCGTCCCCAGTCCCACAGCACTTCGGCCAGGCTGGGACGAAAGGCGCTCCCTGCGGTGCCTCTACGGCTGCTGCTGCAGGAGGGTTTTTCCATCTGCTAACAATGGCTGATGACACAGCCTGACACGGGCTGGCGGGGAGATGTGGTGGGTGTGGAGATGCACAAATGAGCTCTGGCAGGCGAAACAGTGCGTTTATTGTAATCTGAGGCTGCTCTGCCAGTGTGTGCTGCAGAAGCCTGTCTGTTAAGTCAGGCTCGTTTCCTCCTAACTGCTTCACTCTCTTCCTTTCTTGTTCCCCTGCGTCTTAACATCTGGGTGCACTCCTGAGCGATACCAGAGCCTGTAGATGTTGTGTCTTTTGGATTTTACATATTTTACTTTATTATATCTTTTCCTCATGGTTGGTGGGTAGGCACTGATGCAGCCCTTCTCTCTCCTGTGGGCTCCGGGGATGTCTGTCAGCCAGGCTCGATCCCCTGAATGAATGCCTTGTTCGTGCTCCAGCCATTATGAACTTCATAATTTTATTTGCGTACTAACAGAGTTAGCACTGAGCAGCCCTTCACATCTGCCACAGAATGACCATTTGTGTTTCTGGGCAGGCATATCTTCTGAGTTCATATTAACAGTTTATTCAGTAATTGTCAAGTGCTGCAGTCTCCTATCCCCCATGCCGCCTGTGCCTGTCGCACTTTGCTTTCTCTTGTCTGATGTGTGGGGAGAGGCAGGCCAGCATCAGTATTTGCTAGCTCTCCTGCACTCTAGTGAGGATGAACTCCAGGACCTTTTGGAGGGTATGTTGGGGGTGTTTAAAGGGTATGGGCAAGACAAAAAAGATGGAGGCCCAGTTGTGTTATTGGATCTGGGCAGGTAGATGGTCCCCCAGGTCGCTAGTCAAGGCCAGTACCTTTGTGTGCTCTGGTGATCTGTTAAAACTAGCTACAGGAGCTGCGTGGGGAGGTCTGTGACCAGCATCACGCTCTGCCTTCCAGACCCTCCTTAGGCAGCAAAGTTCTGCTAGACCTCTGTGCCAAATATTAAGTCAGGGGACAAGAGGAGCTGACTGTGGGTCTGCGTGTCAGGGAGGGTGGTGGGTGGGATGGGAACAGGGGAACAACTTGGCCGTGCGCTTTTCCTGGTGGGAGGCAAGGCTCCTGATCGGTGTTAAGCCGCACTGAGCGGGGAAAGTAAATCGCTGTTGCTGGGACTTGGGCTGCTGGTCATTGGTACAGCTGTGGGAAGGCCCTTGCCTGGGAAGCGAGGACGGACCGTGGCTCTTCCCCCTGCACCACCGCTGAGCTGCAGTCGGGGTTGAGAGCGCTGCGCATTCTGATCCTTTCCCCACCCAGTTTCTTTGTCTCGCCTGTGTGTGGATGAGGTTGCCGTTAAAACGCATACCGGTCTCGGCGCTTTGGCTGCTGCAAGCTGCAGGGACACGGGGGGATTCTCTCGCATCCTTCTGTTGCCAGGGAGGAAGCTGCAAATTACCACCACTGTGGTGGTACTTCCAGAAATCACCCCAGGGGCAGCGGATAAAGAACAAACCCAGGTCCCTGTAGAGGAGTTAATTGTGCAAGGGCTTCACAGGGTGAGGCTGGTGTGTGCACCCTGCTGAAGGCTCCGGTCAGCCGTGGCCCAGGCTCAGACTGTGGAAGGGGGGTGTACTCACATGCCAAAACCTGGGCTGTGGGCACGGGGGATAGCAGAGAGGAAAGTAAGTGGAGCTTGAGAGCTGGAGGGTTGCTGGAGGCATTTTAAGCAGTCAGGAAGACTGCTTATTCTCTGGAACAGCGCGATCAGCTTACGTTAGCGAATACATGGTAGCTGTGTGTGAGACTGGGCTGTTTGCCCCTGTACGGCCTGCAGCTGGTGTTCAGACGTGTTCAGGTGGAGGTAGAAGAGCAGGACCTCAGCCTTCCCTGCTCCTCAGGACAAGGACTGTTCCCTACAGGAAAGTGCCCGTCTCTCCCATCAGCGTATGCTTGGTTGCCCGGGTCCAAAAGCATGAATGCAGGAAGAGCGTAA